ACTACACTATAATTGTTTCGTTTGACGTATCACTGTTGATAAAATACTATTTCTCTGGTGGAATGAGTCCTCAACCTTATCCAATCCTTATCACAAATCTTCTGGCTTTTCAATTCATTGTCTCCCTCAAATGACATCCTAAGCCCATCTGCTAAAAATCTGGCAGTCAGTCATTGGAGATGAACACATAGTTTGCTTGCTGCGGGTGATGGAGCGAGTCTGCGCTGCTGTGTTTGGCACGGCACCAACCCGTTTTCTTTTCTTTTGGCGAACGGGAAGACCGCATCACACCATTCAAGTGAGTTATTTCCCATCAGTTGTTGTCACTTACCCGCTTCTACAACTGATGGAAAGTGGCTCAGGCACCGTGCCAAACGCGCCGCGCGGATGCGCCCCATCCCTGCCTACTCCTACATCGTACTTTTATGGAAAACTAGAAGGCTGCGTTCATACCTTGCGACGTCGACGTAGCCGACGTAGTGGGCGACTGTGCTGCGTAGTTAAGACACGTATCGATCCGACACAGCGGACGTAACGGGCGTAATCGACGTAATCGCCCACAACCCTCAAAGGAATTGATACCTATCGATCCGACGGAACGGACATAATTGACGTAAACGGCGACAGAAGATGGGATACATATCGACTGACGTCGGTTACGTCGATTACTCACTCGCTTACGTCGGATCAATACTATTTCATCGTGGCGAACTAGTGGCCGAAAACGTCGATAATGTCGGTAACGTCGGTTATGTGAACGAGGTGAACATAAATATTGTATTCACCCCGTGTCTCATGCAATGATATCATCTTTGCTTTTATTTCAGGGTTGGTCTCAATGAGATCACGTTCACCCAGTATCCGATCGAGTCCTATTACAATAAGCAGAGCTGTCTGACGTTTTTGACTTTACGAGGAACAGAAAATGAATGTCAAAGATACTTCCTTCTTGTGGATGACTGGTACAAGTAAGGCATTCTTAATCATTTATATCTCGAGCAGCCTTTTCCCGAATTTTTCGCTGAAAATCAGATTCGAAAGAAAAACCTGGGACCATGGGTACCAGAAATCAGGTTGCAAAGTCATCCAGTTCTACACTTCTGTTCTGGTTTTAATAAAATAGTAAGTGTTATAATCAGAGATTATTTTGATGGTTTACTATTTAATAAAGAGCGTTTCCAGTGACGTTCAAAAGGACACGAGCCCGAAGTTTGTCGGCACGTACTCGGTCCCGCGAGACAGGCTCTACTACAACGATGATAAAGGCAGAAGGGTAAGAAACTGTCAAAATTTTGATTCTGAGTTGAAGTAACCGAGCGACTTCCAGGTTATGATCACAAACTTCAAGAGAAGGATCTCACAGAAGCTCATGTCACCCACAAAATACGAAGTAATTTGTGCTCAAGAAAGATCGTGGTAAAAATAAAGCGTTGTCCAAAAGGGAGACTGGACGTAGCGCTGAGGAAAATTCATCTCGTTGTCGTCAAGAGATTGGCCCAAAAATGTTGATACAGTTGTTGAAGTGTAGTGCTATCCATGAATACTTCGTACTAAATATAATGGGCGATGTGCGTGCGTGCGTGCGTGTGTCTGTCTGTCTGTTTGTCACGAATTCATAGCACCTGAAGAACTTGGAGGGGTCGGGTCATGATGGGGATGGGTAGGGCATGGGACAATATGTAAGTAGCACCCGTGACCCATGGTAAGCCCCGCCCACATGGGGGGAGGAGGCGTGCGCCGAAAGTTAGCGATGTCACTGAAAAAAAAATCATATCTCGGTTCCAGAGCAGTCTCGAGATGGAGGAGCAGTGCACTAAGGTTAACAAAGGGCTGACCGAACAAATAGGAGAGACACACCCGAAATGGGTGGGGGTCCTTGAGGTGGGCGGCGCTTCCCGTTCCACTGAAAAACACCATAATATGCTACAAATCAGCTTGGAGCGGGACAAGTGGGATAGGGTCAGCGGTGGGTTGGCAGAGCAAATGGAAGGAGACACACCCGAAATGGGCGGGGTGTACTTGAGATGGGCGGTCCTTCCACAAAGGTCGGTAACTCGGTTCCCGAAAGAGTTCAGAGATCGCAGAAAAGCCCATGACGAAGCGGAATAGCAACTAGTTGGCACCAAGTCGTACTGCCGGCCTTCGAAGTTCTTTCCTCTTGTGGTTCTTTCTGGGACCATTCACGTTCACTTGCACTTGAGGACACACTGAATCTTGGAGATAGATCCTGTGAATGTGCAAGGTGTTAAGGTTAACATCAGTCGAATTGCAGCACTGCCGTTCGAGAGTGTGATTCAATAAAAACGCAATCTTGTGTTAGCCTGATAGCCGCCGCTCACCATTATACAAGATACGCGCGCCACTACAACGCCATACGGCCATACCCAGGCGCCTGTTGGGCATAGGAGGGTGCATGTCTGGTCAGGCCATGTGGCCTATGGCGTGACTGTGAGCGGATCGTGTATTGATTGAGCGAAGAAACGTCAAACTAAGACAGCTATAGCTGACCCCAGCTACGTTGCAGCACAGTCTCGAAAATGCTATTTCTTCCGCGGCAGACCTTCCCATCTCACCGACGGCTCTTCTGTTGGGTAGTACTTGTGGCAAACAGTTCACTGTTGCCAACGGTCTACGGATAACTTGAACTCAATCCCTTTGAACGCGTCGATCCTCTCTTTTTCTCTGCACTCTCTCGTCCGCATGGCACTCTATGGCCGTTGTGACTTCGCTCACTCCAGCTTTTCACCGACTATAAGTAGCTCACCCACCCCGGAGTCCTCCCCTTGAAAAATCCCGTTTCCTGGCTCGCCATACGTTTTTTGCACGTTTCGATGCTTTGGCAGCCGCTGCCCTCTATCCGTCTGCGTCACAGGGTTTCGTAACAGGACCATGCACAAAAGTTCAAGATGTCACGTAACCGTTGACAACAGTTGTCCGCCCCTACAATGTTCTACAACTGCGGGAACCCAGAAGTCAACCAATGCGTCGATGCAATCGTTAACATGCGAGCCGCTCTTGAATGTTATACTACAGAAAAGGCTCCACAACATGAAGGGGATTAAACAGAATTCGAAAGAACGTAGAGGTTTATGACCTTGCTTGTGTGTCTGCATCCTGTCCATGCTGCTCTAGCCGGTGTCTCGCTTACAAGGGAGGTCTTTCAGGTCGTGGCGCGCTTTTCAGAAATGGTTTGTTGCATGTTGTAGGGGTCCATATAAGGATCACAAAAATGGGTTTCGTTTTTGCTATGCGCTTCTGGGGAGGTCAAAAAATGGGTGAAAAGTTTGCTGGGGAAAAGCGATTTTGAACCATTTTTCTAGGCTCTTTTCTATTTCTAATGTCGAGTATGCATAGCAAATGAGACCTTCGTCGACACTGCATCAAATAAAATCTTTGAAACAGATTAATGAACTATGTTGTAAAATAAAACAATACAAGTCAAGGTGAAAAAGTACTTTATTTGGCACACAGTGAGGCAGCATTGTAGTTTCTCAAGTGATTCTCGCAGCATCCCAACCCGCAGTTAGGGGGGGGGTATTCAGAGCCATGTTGGCGCCAAATGACCTAGGCGCCAGTTATAAAGGTCAGAACCGTGATCAGGGCCGTCAATAACCTCTATATACAGACTTTCAGCGAAAATTTTCTCCTCGAGCTGAGCGCTTAACAGCCCATGCGTGCGGGTTGACAATTCAGTGCAAGAATGCTCTTGCAGCAAATCGGCGATAGGCTGCGCCGTGGTCAAAAATGAGTGTCGTACTCGTGAGTAGGGTATCCAGTCATCCCCGGAGCCCAACTTTCAGCAAGAGTTTCCTCAGTAATGTTTCGAGAGCGCAATAGTTAAGTAAGGTCGACTCGTGAAGTTTAAGTGTACAGAAGAGCTCTTAAACATCCATGTTATATACACTACCACGCACGCAGGAACACAAGGAAGACAGAAATCCGAAAAACGCATAAAGTATCCGAAAAATGCAAAAAAGCGCCAAGAGGATCCGATCCGCAAACCTTCTCCGTAAGAGCCGACCGCACTATCCACTCCGCCATCCGCCGACCACGGAACACTGGTTGCGGGAGTCGTTGAAGTAACTTCGGTACTACTTTTCTCCATGCACTTTCTTTTTGACTTTATTTTGCTCTCTTTTCGATACATAGTGAAGGAACACCTCATAAACTATGCACTCTCAAAGTTACAGCTACAACAGAGCCCAATAAGACGGTTAAAATCGCCCTTTCTTGTCAAATTGTTTTCACTCATTTTTTGGCATTCCCAGAAACGCATAGCAAAAATGAAACCCATTTTTGTAATCCTTGTATGGACCCCTACAACAAGCAACAAACCATTTTTGAAAAGCGCGCCACGACCTGAAAGACCTCCCTTGAGCCGGTATCAATTGATGATCAATACCGAGACTTAGGACTGACAATGAGATACGTGGCTGTTTCTGAATCGATAGATGCTTCATAGTGAGCCTTTCCAAACCTAATGGGTTGGGTAGGCGATCGTCAAGCTGTAGCTGTACCATTTCCATCTCGATATGGTCAACCAGCGATGGTCATTGTCGGCTATCCTTCGTAAAATTAGGCAGATCATGCTTGGATGTAGCTCAGACTTCGCCTTCTTACCTACTCAGCAGAATCTACATGTTTCATCTCCTATCCTCTGCTTCGCCGCTTTTCGTTCTCTTGAAATCACTTGATCATCCACTCCTTTTTGTGCTCCATCCTTCCAAGCCGCACTCGATAAATTGCTTTTTTTTTCATTTTCTGATCACTTTGTGTTTTTATAAGGGGCGAAGCAGAGG